TGAAAAAACTTACAGGACATAGAACCCTGTGAATAATGTCTGTGAACTTAATTCAGAGGGTAACAGGAACCCTCTGAAGGGTTTTAAGCAGAGAGCAGCATAATCTTACCTGTGACTTAGAAAGATTACCGGGACTGTGTAGACGGAGAAGTCAGAGGGTCTTGAACTTCATTAAGCCCCGCAGGGCTTGTTGAAACACAGCGTCCTGGGCCCCATCTTCCATGATTCTAATTCTGACTGTGTGTCCGCATTTGTAACAAATTCACATGTGATATGCATACTGCTGGCTCCAGAAACACACTTTGGGAACTCCTGGAGGAGGCACTGGGGAAACTATTAATATTAGGCAGCTGTTTCTGGTGATGAACTGAATCAAGAGAATGAAGGAGAAGATCCTGAGTGAATGGGTCTGCCATCCCATTGGGGAGAAGCTGTGGCCAAGAAGACACCTCCATATGGCTAAGTGCAAAGGACCTTTCTCCACCATCTTGCTGTACTTCTGCCTGCCTTTGACACACCTTTGATAGAAGATCTTCTTCTGTGGCTTTGGTAATACCTCTTCTCCCAGCTTCCCTCCAACCCTCTGATGACATCTTCTCCTTTGGCTTCTCTTCCAGCATTTCCTGGGCTCCATGCTGCATTCCGTTTTCTCTGGGGGGAGGTGGAGTGTCTTCAGCAGCTCCCAGAGCTTCAACTCCCTCCTGCTACATAGTAAGCTGTAAAAGTGGTTTTAAAATAGTCTAGTAGCCAGTCTTCTTGATTCAGTCATTCAGTAGTCTCCAGTAGTCCATGAGCCCCTCAGAGCCAGGACCTTATCTGTCTCATTTATCTTGGTATCTCTTTTCAGACCTCCTCTCTCTCTGCACAATGTGGGCCCATAGTAGGTGCTCAATAAACATTTATGACTGAAGGAATAATTTCTGCTTTCACCATTTTGCCACTCTGTGAATGCAGGCAAGTTCTTTAATCTCTCAAAGTTTCAGTCACCTCATCTGTAAAATGGGCGTTAGAAATAGAATTTACCTCCTAAGAGTTGCTTTGGGGATGAAATAAGATAATGCATGTGAAGTGTTTAGCACATAGTAAACATTTACTACTATTATTGTTGTTTTATTGTTGGTACTTTTGTGACTTGGGGCCAGCTATTTCACTTCAGGACTGTCACATTCAACAACTGTTCTCCAGCTGGGCTGCTGAGGGGGTCCAGTGAGATGGAGGGTCTGCAAGATAGTAGGTATGTAACAATGGCTTATTCTCAGTTGGGTGTGGTAGCTCACACCTATAATCCTAGCATTTTGGGAGGCCAAGGCAGGAGGATTCTTTGAGACCAGCCTGAGTAACTCAGCGAGACCCTGTCTCTACTAAAAAAATAAAATAAAAATAGAAATATCAGCTAGGCATGGTGGTACATGACTATAGTCCCAGCACCTGGGGAGGTTGAGACGAGAGGATCACTTGAGCCCAGGAGTTTGAGGTTGCAGTGAGCTATGATGAAGCTACTGTACTCTAGCCCAGGCAACAGAGTGAGATTCTGTGTCCAAAAAGAGAAAAAAAAGGTCATTTTCTTTCCCTGAGCTCTCTCCTTTCCTACCCCTATAGACCTTGGACTGCACTGGAGTGTTTTATCCCTTAATGTGTTCAAGGGATGACAATGGAAAGAAAGTGTTGGGGATTGTGGCTGGGCTCCCAGGCATTGTTTAAAAACAAAGAACATTCCTTTCCACCTCAGAAGATCTACATTCCATTAACATTTGTTTCCTTCAACTCAGTCTTCCTAAAGAGCTTAGTGTAGACTAATATTGAATGAAATAAAATTAAAAGTGAAATAAACTCAGAGTCATCTAGAGTCACCTCAAGACAGTTTGGCAAAGCTGGCATTCCTAGATGTTTTTCTAAATTTACAAGTAGTGTAAGTTTTTTCATGCAGGTAGAACAAAGAAGGGTTATTGCTAAGTCTTTGGAGATGGGTTGTAGAGTCTTTTTAGTTTTATTTTTTTAAATGAGTCCCTGTTCCCATTCTGTTGGCTTTGTTACTACAATTCTTCTCCTTTAAAATGGGCCCATAATGGGCGGGGTGCAGTGACTCATGCCTGTAATCCTAGCACTCTGGGAGGCTGAGGCAGGAGGATCCCTTGTGGTCAAGAGTTCCAGACCAGCCTAGGCAATAGTGAGACCCTGTCTCTGCTAAAAATAGGAAAATTAGCAGGAGACTGAGGCAGGAGGATTGAGCCCAGGATCTGAGGTTGCAGTGAGCTATGATAAAAAAATTAAAAAATTAAAAAATTTAAAAAAGGCCTATAGTGGTTTGTAACCTTAAAGAAAGAGTCTTTCGTAAAGTTGCCTCATAGTCCATTATGGACAGGGTTGAAGGATAACCTTTAGCATTTTCTAGCCTAAGGATTATTTATTGTTGGAAAGAAATGCTTCAGGGGCCCTTAGTGTGCGTACTAAAAAATAATTATTGACTGAGCCAATCATTGTTTGTTATTGCAAACAAACCACAGGAACCCCCCTAATGCAACATTTTTGTCCTCTTTCCCAAGCTTTGTGCCAGAGTTTGTCCTAAAGACCAGCAGAGAAATCTACTTCCATACCCAAGCTGAATAGTGTAAGTATTAGGCTGGGATTATGAAAACTATTCATTTTAAAATTTAATCGATTGCTTTTATAATCTTGATCTCCTTTGTTGCTTTCAAGTGGCAGCAGAAAATAACACTTACTTCCTCTATACATTCCATCCCTAAACACAACCATCCCAGGAATCCCCTGGAAGAGTCATTAATTCCTGAAAGTTGTCATGGGTAAAAGGCAGAGTCAGTATTTGCCTTATTCCTTCTAATATATTCCTGACTAAACTGCAAGCTCCTCCCTTCCATCTCCAAAAATAGATTACACAATGGCATAGACCCCTGGGACTCTCTGCATTGGCTCTGTGGGCCAATTTGTATTGTAAGATCAGCCTGACTTTCTGGAAGGAAGTTGGCGTCTGTCCTGTTTTCAGAGCCATTCCCTGGCTGAGTAAAGGTAAGAGGTGGCCTAATAGGTAATTGGAATGGTTTCCTTCTATCCCCACAGCCAAGCTCTGCATCCTTAAAGTTCTTTCCTGATAATTTGGAATTGGGAGCTGTTTTCCTAGCGAGGAACACTCCTATTCCGACGGCTTGCCCGGACATAGTGATTGAGACTAACACCTTCCCGGTTCCCAAGTGAGTCACTTCAGGGCTGCACTCCAGCTGTGGTTCTCAAAGGGGCAAAGAGTGAGCCATTTAAGATCGCCCCTACTTTTGTAACACTTTGGACTACTTAACTTCTATTAATTTTATCTCCCTTTGAGTTTAGGGAATTTGGCATGGCAGCTTGAAGCTGTGAGGATGGGGCTTGAGGCTCAAAAGAAGGAAGAAGAAAAAGACATTAAGGCCTTGAATAGATTATTCTAGGAGGCAGAGCTGAAGATAGTAATTATTTATTGATCTACGGGTGGTGGTGGATTAAAATCCCAAAGAAAGCACAGGGAGCTGAAGACCAACTCTGAAATCAAGACAATGAAGTGATTAGAACAGTAATAGTAACTTCCATTTACCTATGTAGTCAATGTCATTTCTGGTTTGGGCCATGGGTTATTAGAGGCTTATAATACATATATTAAAAAATGCCTTTTCATGGACTAATAATGAGCATGTGTCATGAGTGTGTGAAAGAGGTTGGAAGGAAGGAGAGTTTGTAGTTTCTAAAATAATGACTCACGTGACAAAGAGTATGTTTTGTTTTATGATCTGAACAGTAGCGTTTCCAAACTGGCTTCTTCCCAGGAGCAACCAGTGAATCTGATTTAATAAATGGCAAAGGTAGGAGTGAACTAGTGGTGACCTTCTCAATGTGAAAGGAAAAATTAAACAATGAACAACAAAATAAAAAACAAAATAAACATAAAAAAGGGGAACTGATGTCTGACCAGGCCTAGATGTTGAGACTTAAAATACATAACTCACTGAACTGTGACTCCTGTACTCAGGAGTGGCCAGCTTATTCCTACTGGCTTGTTGAGAGGTGAGCTAGGACAGGTTGGATAGAGGTAGACAGGCTGGGTTTGCATCCCAGCTCTAATTTCTTATCAGTACATCCTGGGGATAAGTCTTTCTGTGCCTCAGTTTCCCCCTCTGTAATACGGGGAAATCAACAGTACCTCCTTCATGGGGTTGCTGTGGACTTAGAAATAAAATTCTTAGAAGAGTACCTGGCACACAAATAGAGTTTAAAATTGTTATTACTTGAGTCCATCAGGCCCCAAAGCCTTCTTAATCTCAGCACTTTAGAACCAAGATGAGCTAAGGCGTGAGTGAGAAGGGTTAAGTGTTTTCAACAGACATGGGACGTGGATTCTGCTTATTATCTGTATGGCTGCAGATTAAGTTATATAACCACTCTGAGCTTTTGTGTTTCCTCGGTTATAAACTAGGGCTAATAGTAGCGTTCCTCCCAGAGCTCCTCTGAGGCTCACAAGATAACCATGTCAAGGAGCTGGTGCCCGGTAGCAGTAGGCAAAGGGCAGAGGTTGCTTCCTGCCCTTTCCCCATTAGCTCTCTCACTGGGCAGCACTGCTGGGTTTGAACTGAACAGGGGACGGGCACTGGAGAACTACACTGAAGGGGGGTTCCTTCTTCACCTTCTCCCAACCCCCCAGTTTTTAAGCTTTGTGTACTTAGCTGTCATCTCCTCTCCCTACCTCTAACCTTCTCACCAGGCTTCTGCCCCTTCCTTTTTTTAACTATCAACTCTGGCCCTTATCACAATCTCCAGGAAGCATCTTATAACCCCTGAGAACTTAAAGACCTTAAGGCCCCCAGACACATTTCAACAAAGAAAAACCCTTGCCTTTTTTAAAACCACTTTCCCCCTCTTTATAAACTCATTCTCTTAAGGGTCAATTCTGTTAATTTGTAATCGGTGAAAAGAAAATGGGGGACGGAGGGGGAAGAAAAGAAACCACTCACAACTTAAGATTTGGCTCAATTATATATTTGCCAGGTATTTTATTTTTTCTAAAAACAATAGAAAAAAAATCAACTTTAAAAAGGAAAATGTACTTAAATAAAAAAATTATGGTTTATAATACATGGTTTGAAATCTTGTATAACTGCTATAAACGTTTTATTAAAGTTATTTACATTTAATGGCCATATTTACACAGAAAAATTGGGTAAACCTTAGGATCTTTTAAAAACAATTCTTAAATACAAATCTGTTAAAGAAAAAAACAAAAAAAGATGGCAAGCATAAAAAAAGTTCTTTTATGCCCAAAGTCCCATTTGAGGCAGTTTACATTATGGCTAAACCTTTCAGTCCCAAGACCCAGCCAAGGTTGTGAGGTTGCATTTGATCATGCATTTGAAATAAGTTCATAGGTAATAAATTGCGGCAGTTCTGTCGGAAGGAACCTTTTTCCTTACTTTCCCTTTGTAACAAGTGAGAATTCATGAGCGATTCCAGTTCCTTCCTCCAATAGGTCAGCTTATGCACAAGAGTTCCGCAGCTGTTCAAGTTTGTGTTTCAACTGTTCTCGGCGCTTCCTCAAAGAGTCCTTTTCTGAAATGAGCTTTTGCTCCTCTGCTTGGATGGACAGGATGTATGCAGTGGCTTTTTTAAGGATAACTACCTTGGGGGCTTTTTCATTGTTTTCCAACTCTGGGATCTGGTCACGAAGGGCAAAAAAGCTCCGTTTCAACTCATTCCTCCTCTGGCGCTCCAGGACGTTGTGTGTCCGCCTCTTGTCATTCTCCTCGGTGTCCGAGGACCTGGGGCTGGTGCATTTCCGGTTGTTGCTGATCTGTCTCAGGACTCTGACACTGTCCAACTTGGCCCTCTTGGCAGCGGGATAGTCCTTCCTAGTGGAGGGGGGTGCTGCGTAATTGTGCTGATGGGTGGACACGTGGCACCGCTTGAGGACTAGTGGGCTGTGAGGAGGTCTGCTGTGGCCTCCGGCAGAAGGTGACCCCGATTCTGACCTTTTGGCAGGGGGCTGCCTCTTTTCCACAGAGACAACATCGATTTCTTCCTCATCCTCCTGTTCTTCCTCTTTAAGAAAGGAAATAGAAATCGCCTGGTTAGCAATGTTTCTTTAAAGAATCAATGACCAGATTAAATTAATGCCATTCAAATATAAGGCATCAGTCTGTTAGAAAGGGCTCTGGACAAGACTATCCCCCCAAAGGACCAAATCTAGCCAATCCCCCTTACTCCTCTCCCCCACAAAGGTGGTCTCATAAAGGGGGAAGGATGACAGTTGGGACTATGGCACAGACAAGAAAATTACAATTTACCAGGACATGACACTGATGCCAATTCTTACCTAAGACTTAATGAGGCTTTGGGCACACCCAAAGTAAAGCACTTTCCCAAGCACCTCCTATTTTTTAAGGGACTTTACCAAGAACCCTTCAAAGCTTGCAAATGATAGCTGTAAATCGCTTGGTATAACTTTAGCAACTCCCTATTTTACTGGGAATGCAAAATAAAAAATAATAAAAAAAGGATCTTGCAGCTTTGCCAAAAGTCCTGGAGGAAGGGGGAAGGAAAAAAGAAATCCAACTTTGGCAAAGGCAAGGATTTGATTTTAAGCGTTTAAAATAGGCTGAGAAGATCCTAGTTCCTCAGCCTATCCCCTCTCCAGGCACTTTCACTGGCTCCTGCACTCCCGCAGGATGCAGCCCTGCCCCTCGTTTTTTGTACATGCTTAGTTCATTAAACTCCAGCCACTTCTCAGAAGTTAGGGGAAGAGGGAGGCAATTCATTCACTTCTTAGAGATCAATCCTCCGGTATCCTCATTCACAACCTCCCCTCACCCCAGAGCAATTAAAATGCTTAAGAGGGAGTGGATTGAGTTGCAAGATAAGCCAGAAGATTTTAAAACCCAAATGAAATTCCTGAAGTGGGTGGGGGGGATGGCAACCAGGGGGGTCTAAGGGGAAAGGATGGGAGGGAACTCTAAAGCCCAGGGTTGCAGAGATGATGAGTGCCCGGAACCTTCCACATCTGCCTTTTTCTCCTTCCAAAATATAAGGAAAAGAGAGAAAGGCAGGGTCTGAAGTGGCCAGTTGAATTAGCCACTAACGACAATATCAAAGATATCTAGCCGCCCACCCCCTTTTGACAGGTCAGGAGGGACCCAGCTTACCAGAGTCGCTGCTGGTGGTGGGTGGTGTTTCCTCGTGAAGCGCCAGGGGCTCGGGGCTGGCCCGCGGGGAGGACTCGGTGGAGGAGAGCAGAGAGTCCGAGGACGAGGAGAAGGCAGTGGAGTCAGGTGAGGCGCAGGGCTTGGGCGAGCTGCTGTCATGGAGCGGGTAGGGGAAGACCACCGAGGGGTCGATGCACTCAGAGGCGGCGGCGCTCAGGTCCTGCAGGTACAAGCTGGAGGTGGAGCAGACGCTGTGCCCGCGGGCGGGGCTCGGGCTGCCGCTGTCTTTGCGCGCAGCCTGGTAGGAGGCCAGCTTCTCTGAGACCAGCTTGGCGGCGGCCGAGAAGCCGCTCCACATACAGTCCTGGATGATGATGTTTTTGATGAAGGTCTCGTCGTCCGGGTCGCAGATGAAGCTCTGGTTCACCATGTCTCCTCCCAGCAGCTCGGTCACCATCTCTAGCTGGTCGGCCGTGGAGAAGCTCCCACCGCCGCCGTCGTCGTCTCCCCTGGGGGAGAAGGACGCGACGGCAAAGTAGGAGGGCGAGCAGAGCCCAGAGCGGCGGCTCGGGGACAAGGGCGGGGTGGGCAGCAGCTCGAATTTCTTCCAGATATCCTCGCTGGGTGCCGGCGGCTGCAGCTCGCTCTGCTGCTGGTGCTGGTAGAAGTTCTCCTCCTCGTCGCAGTAGAAATACGGCTGCACCGAGTCGTAGTCGAGGTCATAGTTTCTGCTGGCGAAGCTGACGTTGAGGGGCATCGTCGCGGCAGCCTGCAGGAGGGGGCACACAAAAGGGGGACACCCTTGAGTTAAGGGGGTGTTGTTGGTGCCAAAACCTGCGGCAGCGCCCAGTGCGCTCCACAATTCCTAACCACTCCCCTTCCAGAGCTATCTCCCGAAGGGGCCGGACGGGGGGGCAACAAAAAAAGGGTACCCTTTCACCTCCTTTGGGCAACCCCCTGCTATCCTGGACAGGCACTTGGTGAACTAGCTGTGTAGTGCCCGCCGGGCCCCCGCCTCCTCAGAGCCCGGGGCGCAAAGCCCCAGAGTCGGCACCGCAGCTGCGGTGGAATCGAAATCGGCCTTGGCCTCCTTACGAAGCCGCGGGAGGCGGCGGTGAGGAATACGATTTGCCAAACCGAAGGCGCAAAGTTTTGCGCCACCTGAAGGAGAAGGCGAGAGGCGCCTCGGCGCTAGCGGCTGCGCGCCGCTCCCTCCCGCGACGGGCCCCTCCGCGCTGCCATGCCCGTCCTCGCGCCCTCGCCGCGCTCCTACCCCAGCCGGCGCCGCCGCCCCTCCCAGCCTCCCCTCCGCCTTCTCCATCCCACCCCCAGCGCGCCCCCCTTCCTTCCTTTGCCGGCTTTTCTTCTTTTTTCTCGCCGGCTGGAGTGGCGAGCTCAGCCGCGGGCTTTAACACCCTCCATAAATAAAAGGGGGGTGTTAAATAATAACAGGGGCACCTCCCTTCCACACTCAATACAGCGACGCTACTGCGCCAGAGACCCCGCTGCGATTCCTCTCCCGGAGCCGGGCGTCTTCCCCAGCCCGTTGAGGGTAGCAGCTGTTCTGGAACCTACCCGAGCCCCGGCCCTCGCTGTCTCTCCGCATCTCGGGGGCGCAGGGACACCCGAGGGCGGCGGCAGCCGGGGAGTCAAGGCCGGGTGCGGAGATTCGTCCCGGTTTTTCCCAAGTCGACGATTCCGGGAGAATCAGACACATCCCTGCTTCCCCTTTCTCCTCCCTGCGCCTCCCCAACATCAAGTCCTAACACCTCTGGAGATCAACGCTTTTAATTTTATTATTCTTTTAAAAAGCCATATGCCAACTTTTTAAAAGGAGCAGGGGCGAGCTGGAATCGCCGCGGGGACCGGCGGGCGGGACGCGCCGCAGTGTCTGCCTCCGGCTGTCAGAAATGCGGTAAGCCGAAATTTAAATGCCCTCCCGGAGACGGGGAAAAGTCAGCTGCTGCGGAGCTCTCTCGCTCACACACGCAGTATGTAATCCATATTCCAAGGAGCTCAGGATGCAAAGGCTTTCTGCCCACCGCGAAGCAACCCCCTCCACAACCCAAACAGCAATTAATGCAATAAAGCAGGAATGTCCGACCGGCCGGGAGTCAGCGTCATATACAATTGGCAAAAATCTGTGAAGGCCACTTTTCAGAACGCACCCCCGTTTCCCTCTGCCTTCTCTCGCATCTTGACAAGTCACTCTGCCCTGATCCAGTTCTGGGTCACCCCCAACCTTACCCCGACCTACCACAACTACTCAGAGAAAAGTGTCATTAGCGCAGGAATGGGAGAAAAGACACCTCAATTTGGGCATTCGACTCATTTTAGCATTAAAGCAGTAGAGAAAATAAATTAAGAGACAAATGGATCCCGGTGCTTACCGGGTTTTCCACTACCCGAAGGAAATCCAGCGTCCAAACAGCGGAAGGAGCGCCTTTCAGAGGAGCGAGTCCTGGGCAGCGTCGGGGAAAAGTATCCCCAAATGGGTGAAATAGCCTCCCCGCGTCCGCAGAGTCGCGTCCTTGCTTGGGTGTTGTAAGTTCCAGTGCAAAGTGCCCACCCGCTGCTATGGGCAAAGTTTCGTGGATGCGGCGAGGGTTGCGGACCGCGGGCGGGGAGTCAGCGGGAGGGCTGGGGTGGGGGCTGCTGGGCCGGAGGCGAAGCCCCTCTTTCACTCCGGATCTCCCTTCCCGGCTCGCCCGGAGCGCGGCTCGGCTCGCTCGGCTCTTCTACCCTCGCTGGCCCGCCCGCTCGCTCCCTCTGCCTCTCGCTGGAATTACTACAGCGAGTCAGATAAAGCACCAAGAACCGGCTTTTATACTGCTCCCTCCGGCTTTCATACTCCCTCCCTCCGCTCTTTTTCCCGCCAAGCCTCTGAAAAGCCCTGCCCTTCTCGAGAAAGGAGGGGAGCCAGGGGCGGCCCGGGCGCGGCGGTGGCGGCGGCCGCGAGCAGCGCAGCTCAGGGGTCCTCGGCGGCGCAGACCCTCGCATTATAAAGGAGTGGTGGGCGGGGATTCGCGAGAGAGGATCTTTTTTCTGGTTCCCCCGCCCTCCGCTTTGGGAACTCGGGAGGGGCGCCTCTGGGGAGAGGGAGGAGGAGAGCGAGCCCGGCACCCGGCACTCCAGCTATCGGATGTAAACAGAGCGAGAGAGCGGCGTGAATTAACTGCGCGCGCCTACCATTTTCTTTTGCTCGCGCTCAAACCCTCTCCCTTTCTCTGCTGCTTCTCTGGCGCAGCACCCTGTTTGACAAACCGCATTCTTGTCCTGCGTGTTTAAATCGTCGCAGGCGGAACAGCTGGCCTCCGCACTGCGAATATGCCGCGTACCCACGGCCGCGCCACGCACGTCCCAGGCGGCCGGGCCCCTCCCCAAGGCTGGGGAAAGGGCAGCGCTTTGAAAACGAGTCCCATGAAGAGTGGAGGAAAGAAGGGTTTTACCGGGCGCGCTGAGTGTGCGGGGTGTCAGCGTAGATGGAACACATGATAGAGGTATAAGGAGGAAAATGATGCCTCGAATGATTATAACTCAGCAACGCAATGCCACGTCTACTTGGAGAGCGCGTAGTGAATAAACTCCCACTGAATTTGTTGGGGGGGTGGTTAATGAATTATGCATTATGTAGGTACAGCTATCTGGATTGGGCACCTTCCACTCAGAACGAATCCCCCAATTTGCTGCCAAAGCAGCAGATACCGCCCCCCCCCGCCCCGCCCGCGCCGGCTTCCGAGGGGCCCCGTGCGGGAGGCGGCTGTTCCTTCAGGACGCGCTAATCCCCGAGATCTTTTTGCGACTTCCCGAGCTCGGGGAGAGGAGGAGCATGGTTGCCGGCTCTCTGCCACTCTGCACCCCTATCCCACCCCCGCCCCTCTCACACGGAGTTCCCAATTCCGCTGCCAGGTTTCAGAAGAGACAAATCCTCTTTGCGCCCTGTGGCGCCAGTTTGCACCAGTCTCGGGCTCCCGGGTTTGGGGAAAATCAAAGGCGCTAGACGGGAGAATATGGGTGGGGCAGGGGGCACCCGAACTGCGGGACCCGACTTCCCAGAAGTGGGGAGGGGGTGGGCTTGCGGATCAGGCCTGGGGAGTCAGCAGTGACCCTTGTAAAGAAAACCGTTAACTCTTTCCTCCCAGGACAAACAGACGTTTAATTCCTTTACAGATCCTCTTTCTCCCTTTTATTATTGGAACCGCAGTCATGCACGAAAAATGCATCGATTCTCATCAAAGGAGGGGCGAGGAGTATTACTTCCATGCCTTTTTGGGGGGTCTTGAGCTAATTAAAAATTGGCTGCATTTCAGGCATTAATTTCCTAGTTCACTGACTCTAAATTTCTTTCCTGAATACCACAGAAAGTGCATTGTATATAATCCACATACATATATTCACATTTCATTTACATTTCGACCTAGCTAGTTGCCCGACCTAACACATGATCTTTTCGCTCCCCGAGTGGATCAATATTTAATATATAACCTCGGGATTTGCTATTTTGTATCATTCCACGGCATGAAAAACAAAGACAATCTTCTCATCCTTAGTCCCTCGCCCAAAGGCATTTTAAGTACACTTTTCCCACCCCCCCACCCCCCCAAAAAGAGAAAAAATCCTGGGAGAAAGGGAGCATGTACACTGTTCAAGAGAAGTTGTTACTCGTTGAGTTTACAGCTCAGCGTTCAATTGTTAAATAAGTAGTAACTTCCCCTAAATTAGACGCACTGCAATTCAGCTTTAAGGATCGCAAATTACTCCAACCTCTGGGCCTTTGCCGCAAACGCGGGAGCGACCAATCCCTAAGCTCGATTTTGCCGCAAAGCGTCTTTTCCCCCGCCCTCTTTCTGGGCTGCGCTCGCGTTGGAGTTTTTGAAAGTAAAGTAAGTGTGCCCTCTACTGGCCGCAGAGATCACCGCCTCCGGATGCCAGCGAGGGCGGGGGGCGGGGGGCAGGGGAGTCGCCGCGTAGGATTTCCAGCGGGGGAAGACCCGCGGCTACTTAAAAAGAGTTTCCAGCCACCTCCTTTTGATTCTTTCAGGCAGACTGCAGAGGAGCCCAAGGAAGAGGAATTGCTGGAGGAAAAAATGGTTCAGAGGTGTTTATTCAACCACATAAGAGGTGGTGAAGATTAACCCATCACTGCTTATTGACAATCAACGTCACCCTATGGAGAACTGGTGCTATTTATGGGAAACGTGAAATAATTCGCAAGTACCTCTACGAAAAAAATTTCCAACAAAACCCTAAAGCAGCAAAACAAGCTGTAGCCCACACGTCTTTTAACCACCTTTTTAATTAATCATCAAATTTGACAGCAATTCACTGGATTTACTGGGGAAGGGGAGACACAGTGGAAGGTGGAGGGTATTTGGTTTTGTTTATTGTTATTTTTAATTAAAAATTGGGTTGATGAATAATAAACATGTTTTGATAGTGAACAGGGGTATTTGAGATCCCATTGAAAAAATGTGAAGGACCAGGGCCATTTTGTAAAACGTTTTAATACTAAAAAGACTGCAATAAAAGTCGAAGTAAATGTGAAGGAAATTTGCCTAGCATGCATTTCGTAGGTGTGAATACTTCAAGTAGGTTTTTATTGTGGAAAGGGTCCTTGAGGGTCTCTGATCACCTAGTGAAGCGTTCCGGAAGTTTGGCAGTGGAGGGTCCTTCCTGGAAGAGCCTCTTAGGGAGATTTCCCAGAAATCTGGCACTTTTGGTGTTTCTTTGATAGAGGCTAAATAAGTGCTCTCCACTGAGGCAGTCCTCCCCCCACACAAAAAACCCAAACCAACAACAAACAAAGAGCAATAGCAAAAACACAAGTGGGTCTAGCTCCTTCTCAGAGGGTAGTTTTGAAAGTTGCTAAAGATGCCATATAATAGGAAATCTTCAGGTCTGACTCCCAAATTATGCCATCCTGATGTGGAGCCGTGACCCCCAGGCAAATATAGTGTCTGTGGGTTCAGGACTCAACCTCACTCTCCACCAAGACTGGTGACATCACCTGCAGTGTTACTTTCAACTGATAGCTTGGAGCTGTTTTGTGCCTCCAGACAAGGTGGGGGCCATCTCCATTTTACATGCAAGGAAACAAAAATCAGATCTCAGTGATGATGCTAAAGGACATAATGCCTTTCCTTTAGTAATTTTTAAGGCATCTTTGACCTAGAATAGACACTTGCTGGGTTGAGAAATGGCTGAGGAGATTACAACTAATAATATCATTTGTGATTACCAAAGTGATACATGTTCATTGTGAAAATAAATTATAAAATAGAAAAGGAAAGAAAAAAGAAAAACAAATGTTTCTTAATCTTGAGCACTCAGAGGTAGTTGTTGGAATTTATCTTTTAAAGAAACCTTCTAAGGAACATCCTAGGTCTTTCAACTCCAAATTTTCCTCTTGGAAGACGGAGAAAGGTGTCTTCTGAGTGATCACCCCTAGTTTATTGCTCCAGGGGCACTGTTCCGCGATGGCTCTCCCTCTTTTCGCCGGGTGCTGCTGGGGGAGGACTGGGCTTCTAGGAAGAGAAGGGTGTCCCGCAGGGCAGTTCTGTTATCCCTCACAGGATTGGGACTCCAGGCAAACAGTTTGACAGTATTGCTTCACAGAAGAGAACATGGTGTGGCTGGAGGAAACATCCTTTCCTAGAGGATGGTACAAATAAGTCATTAATTCTCACCACTGCATATCCTCACAACAGTAGTCATACCGCTATTATATGTAAGAACAAAGAAAAAAAGTACAGAAAGAATGAGCAAGTTGACCAAACTTTCTGCTTTCTTCCCATAGACAAAAAAGGGCAGAATAAGAACGTGTGACTTATGTAAAATAACACCAGTTTCTCCCCCTACCTTCTTTGACTATCTCTTCCCCTGCCCCTCAAAGAGTTTCCTACTGAGTTGATGCTCTACTCATAAGAGCAGTTACTAATATGGGAAGAAACTGGACCCAGTGATCAAAAAGTTAGCTCCAAGTTAGGGGTGAGGCAGAAAGCCCCTCAAGATGACTAGACTGTTATTTCAAAATCCCGTCGAGTCACGTGAGGTCTGTCAAGGAGCGAGGCGAGGGAGGAGAATGATAAATACATATCTTGAGCACAAAGATCATTTTGAAAGAAGGGCCGTTAGATTAAAAACCAAGCCAGCCACGGAATGTTAAAGGAAGAGAAGGTCTCACAAGCATTTTAATGCCAACCATGTGTCCCAATGAGAGGAACAAAGAAAGCCTCTTCAGTGACAAGAAAATAAAATTCTGTATCATTAATTCATAGCAATGATAACAAAAAAGGCAGTGAAGAAAATCTTTGTGCATTTTAAAGAATGCTTTTTTGGGGGTTAATGTTGTCCCTTCCCCTCCCAGCTTCTAACAGACTGCATAAATTAAAGGAGCTGAAAAGGAAAAAAAAATAATTAGTAGATGTTTTTAACATAAAACTTGAGAGCCTACACTTCCTGTGTGCCACATCGAGTACCTTGGGTGGTTTGCTTAGCCACTGTCTTCTAGACTGCAGATCCTGGTAGAGGGTCCTGGGCTGGACCCAGTGAGCCCTAGTCACATCTCCAGCTTGGCTTTGTCCTTTTATTTCTTAGTCCTTCACTATAATGCTGCCTTACTTTGTAGCTACTAGAGTGGACAAATGGTTCCTTTGTTGAATCTCTTCAAAGGCTTGGTTTATTGTCCTGTAAGTGCCAAACCGAAGCCTAGCTCAAAAGTTTCCACACTTTGGCTCACTGGCCTGTCTTGGCTATGGTCCTTTTGGGTAACATCTGTCCTCTTGGACTCTTGCTGGGTTGGAGGTATAGGGGACTGCAAAGGAGACCAGTTGGGGGAAACTTTTGGTTTTAAATCTTCGGTCTTCATTTGGAAGCCAGTGGACTACGAGACTATTCCTTTTATGGACCAACGGACATCCCAAACTGTGGCTTCTGACTTTCTTTTCAAAGCCAGACTTTCTGAGAGTAGCTCACCCTTGGTTGCTGTCATTTTAAAATTG